AATTTTCTTTTAGATAAATGAGGGAGATTCCAGGTCTAACCTGCAGATTTCTTAACTGGATTCTCACTCTCTTTCTCACATTTTCCTTTATGCACTTGCATCTGGCAGCACTTTCTAGCTTATTAATTTGCTCCAAATTGGGTCCATTCTTGGAGCCTATTTAATGAGTTTTTAAATTTTTAACATTTATATTTTTTTCTTTTCTTTCCCTCTTTCTTACTTTTTTCCTTCCTTCTTTCTTCCCTTTCTCCTCCCCCACTTCCTTCCTTCTTTCCTCCCTTGCCTCCTACCTTTCTTTCTTTCTTGGCATGTGAGCTCACCAGCAAGAGATCGAGATAGGGAAAGGCAGAAAGCACCCCCAGTGAGTATGGTCATGCCACAATCCTTTCCCCTACATTTCTCCCTCCTTTCAGGATTTTGGCGCGCCCCCCCCACACACACACACACACACATCCAGTATGGTTCTCAAACTGCCAGGTCTGGGACATGGAGTCAGTCATATGGGATCCAGCTACCTTAACACTACACCACCGGCCAGCCCAATTTTTGTATTTTATTTCTAATATCTTTTCATAGCCTGTTTTGGTCTTATGAATAAAGTTTTTACATTTCTTTGTCAAATTATTTTATTTTGAAGTCTTATTTATTGCCACTAATAAAGATCCTCAGTTGTTGTTGTTTGTTTATTTGTTTTAGAGAGGTATTTTGCTATAGGGCCTGTGTGTTCACCAGAGAGAGAGAGATAGAAAGCGAGAAACCACTGCCCACGGGGGATGGCCACACTCCAGTCCCTTCTCCCCCAGTCTCCTCTCAGGATTTTGGGCATGCAAATACACGTGCCTGGAATGAGTTTTAAGCCGCCAGGACTTAAACTGTGGTCGACTGGATGGGAGTCCAGCAACATAACCATTACGCCATCTGCTGGTCTCCAGAGTTTCATTTTATTTTATTTATTTATTTATTTTGGAGAGTTTTTTGCTATAGGGCGCCATGTGCTCTCCAGAAAGACAGAGACAGACAGACAGAAAACGAGAAATAACCCCCTGGGGGAGATGGGCATGCCACAGTCCCTTCTCCTCCATTCTCCTCTCGGGATCTTGGGCACGCACACTCACGCACCCAGCATGAATTTAAGTCACCAGGTCCAGGACTCGAATCACGGTTGACTGCATGGGAGTCCAGAACATAGCCATTACGCCAACTGCTGGTCCCCCCAGAGTTTTGTTTTTATTGTTGTTTGGTATCTCTCTTGCATATTGTTTTCTTCAAAAATGTCTGATTTTTGGTGGTACTGAAAATTCCATGTTTCCTCTCTGTGGGTACTGTTTGCTGCAATCTCCATTGAGTGTGGAGTAGGGGCAGAATGTGTTGCTGAGTGGGGTGCAGGTTTGTCCTACATGAGAGACACCCCCCCCCCAATCCTGCCTTGCTGCCCTGCCCAGCCAGAGCTCCCTGCCTTAGCTGCTGTCTTCCATTGCTCAGCACAGGCAGAGAAGGAGAAAGGAACTGTGTGGTGCTGCCATTCTGAACACCCTGGCAGCTCCCCAGAGCTGTGTCTGTTGGCTCTGAGCTAGGAGCACCTTTTTACCTTCAGTCTTCTCCAGCCCTTTTTTATTATCTGAACTCCTAAGAGTCCTGCCAGATTGACAGAAGATATTTTGCTGACCATTTCATTTTCCAGAAGATAGAGTGATGTAGGATCCTGCTATTCTGGACCTAATTCTGAATAGACTGCAGAAGGGCAGGTCCCAGGGATTTGGGGGAAAGCATCTCTCCATTCCAGAGGTCAAGGCCAGCCCAAGAGGTGCATGTAGCTTTAGGAAGTCCAGACTTAAGAGGATAGAAATAGATAACCATTCTCTAAAAGCCTCACCCTCAGGGCGGGCAGGTAGCATGGTAGTTAAGGGCGCTGGACTCCCACATGGCTGGTCACGATTTGAGTCCCAGACCTGGTAGCTTGCTTTCTCACTTTCTCTCTCTCTCTCACTCTGTCCCTCTCTGGTCAAATTAAAATAAATAAATGATAAATAAAGTTAAATAAAATAATTTTTTAAAATAAAATTTAAAAAGCTTCACTCTCTAGAAGGAAGGAGGAGCCAGTTCAGGCACTAAAATTATAAACATGGGACCACCACGTGGTGGTGTAGTTAAGGCACTGGACTCCCACATGACCAACCACTGTCCCAGACTCTGTGGCTTGAAAATAATGCCTGGTGTGTGTGTGTGTGTGTGTGTGTGTGTGTGTGTGTGTGCCCCCAAAATCCCAGGAAGAGGAGAGACTACAGTATAGCCGTCCCCCCTCGGAGGAGTGATTTCTCACTTTCCTTCTCACTGTCTCTTTTTGTCTCTCTGGCAAGTGCACGCACCCTATGGCAAGAACCTTAAAAATAAATAAACATAACAGAAACCAAGATTATGCACAGAAAGACTCCTTTACTGATTATTCATGTTCTCCCCAACTTCTCAGCGTTGGGGTGCCCTCCAAGATGTTCCCCTCTATCTATATATACTCCCCTCATGACCTCATCCGAGTTTATTACTTCAAATACCGTATATATGCCGATGACTTCCAAATGCCATCCCCAGCCCTGACTCGCAGGCCCGTATATCAGCTCAGGACATCTCTCTGGTTGGCTCTCTGGTAGAGTCTCAGGGCTCATCCTGTCTGAAGTGGAACTCCTGATCTGTCATCTCCTGTTTGTACCACTCATAGCCTTCTCCTTCTAAGTTGATGACAAAGTCCCTCGGGCCAAAAATTCAGATTTCTCTTTCTTCCATACCCTGCTTTCACCCTATCAGGAATTCCTGTTGCCTTCACCTTTAAGTTATATTCAGATTTCAAAGTGCTTTTTATACGCCTGCTACCACCATTTTGGTTTAAGCCACCCTTATCGCTCATCTAGACAACTAGTTTCCCTGGTTCTGTCCTTCCTGTTCTAATGGTTTTCTCGGCATAAGTTAAATCATAGTATTTCTCTGCTCAGAAACCTGCACTGGCTATTTGTCCCACTGAGTAAAATCCAATACTCTTATAATGCCTGCAAGGCCTTGAGTGATCTCCCTTCACCTCCACTGGATCTCTGACCTAACTCATTCCACCCCAGCCATGCTAGCCTCTCAAGGTTCTTCCAGCCACCCCATCCTTGCCTCAGGCTTTGTACTGATGGACCCTTTTGTCCAGGGGCACTTCTGTAGACATCCATCGGCCACAAGCTGCCTTCCATGTCTCTTCAAGTCTGTGCTCCAAGGTTACTTTCTTAGAAAGTAAGAACCCACTTGCTCTGACCATCCTGCTCCTGGGTGCCACTGGTATTCCTGAACCTTTGACCCTTGTCACCTTTTTATTTCTGTAGGGCTGCTTTCTGACATGCTTTCTAATTTGCCTATTTATTTTGCTTCCTATTTGTTTCCTGCAGCTGGAAAGCAAACTCCATGGGAAAATGATCTTTATTCTGTTTATCAACATATTCCGTGAACCTAGAACAGGACCCCCACCCAGTAAAGTATTGAGTAAAAGAACAATGCATACTGTCAGAGAGGAAAAAGTGTTGGCAGTGTCAGATTGACAAAGAGGCCCTACAAGATAGAAATTGATAGAAAGCTGGGGCCGGCAGGTGGCTTGGTGGTTAAGGGGGCTGGACTTCCACATGGCCAACCATGGTTTGAGTCCCAGACCTGGTGGCTTGCTTTCTCACTTTCCCTTTCTCTCTCTCACTCTGTCCTGCTCTGGTCAAATAAATAAATAAATAAAGTTAAATAAAAATAATTCTTTACAAAGAAAAAAAGTAAAAGAAAAGAAATTGATAGAAAGCAGCAGGTGGCGTGGTAGTTAAGATGCTGGGATCCCATATGGCTGACCGAGGTTCAAGTTCTGTGCCCAGCAGCTTGAAAACCACAACAAATACATACATAAATAAATAAATGTTTTAAAAAAAGAAATTGAAGCTCTACTGAGTGGTAACCCTGGAGTTGGAGGTGCATGTCTGTGGGGACAGTCTTTTGTTAGGATACCTATTGGAGGGGTCTGGGAACCTTGGGTTTCTATTCGTGAAAGTCATCCTATATCTTTGAGTGCTGTTCTCCAGCCACCCTGAATGGCTGTCACAGTGTCATGGTGGGGTGTGCTCACATGCTGTGTGCATGCTGACCCCAGCCTGCCAACACAAAGCTTGGCAAGAGGTACCTGACAGCACTGGGCAGAGAGCCCTACGTCTGCATGTAACATGCTAAAAAAGTACTCTGTAGTGAATCCCTTTTACAAGGGAGTAAAAATGAGAGTTTAAGAATTATTCATAGCAGTACCTAAGAGATTTATTTGTTAGACTCATTCCTCCTCTTAACCAGAAATCAGTCATTCTCTTTGCTATGACAGTAGCTTTTCTAAACATTCAATGCCTGGTGGACAGATAAGGAAACATTGAAGTTTTTTGCAGTTACAAGACCACTGGGAGTGGTCTCTCAATATTCTTAGTAAAGTAGTTGGCTTGAGTTTGATCATCTTATATGTGTTTTATTTTATACAAATATATTTAATTCCTTTGTAAAAGTATTATTGAATATATATTGACCACCGTACATACATTTCTTCTGTTTACCCCTTCCTTATGCAAAGCCGATTATTACTTTATTAACTCTTCTTTTTCTTAGAGTGCACGTGTAGATGTTTGCTATCATTTGATTAAGTAGCATTCTGTTGTTTGTTATAATTACCTTGGAATTATTTTGTTTGTTTGGGAAAGCTATGATGAGCCATTCTGATAAAGACCCAGTGGGAGGCCAGAGCCTCACTGAGTATCCTGTAGGAATGGTGCAGTATAGAGGTCAGTCAGGAAGCTCCACTCACACTTTGCTTCTAGTGAGCTGGGACATTGTTGTGGTGAAGCAGCAGATTGGAGCTTGGGGTTGGTGTTGGGGATTGTACTGCCTGGCCTGAAGTGTGGGTGACAGTGGTGCTGATTCTGGGGGCTGGGATAATAACTGGTTACTTTCCTTTCTCACAGTTGTTTCCTCTCTTTGCTCCTGGTGGCTGCTGTGGTTTGGAAGATCAAACAAAGTTGTTGGGCTTCCAGGCGTAGAGAGGTAAGTCACTGAGCCTCAGGTGGATAAAAATTAAAGAAGCCCTGTAAAAACTTTCTTCCTTTCTTTTTCTCTGAGGCAAGTCAGTTTTAGCCATTTAGAGATAATTGTCGGATAGGCATATCCACAGTAAGAATAAAGCCATCCATTCTTACAGCATCAGGGGATTTCAAAAAGCTCGTGAAAAAAAAAAATGAAATAAAGTCCATGTTTAAAATTGAAATCCATGCATAGTTTTGTCATAATATACATTTTCTATGAACTTTTTGAAGACCTCCTCACCCCTAATAAGTGGTTCTGCCATATCGGCTCAGTAGCCTTCCTTAGATCAGTGCGACATGAAGCCTATCCTGCACCACAGGGTTTTAACTTTCTAGAAGGAAACTCTAGTTATTTATTTATTTTTTGGAGAGGATTTTGCCATAGGGTGCGTGTGCTCGCCAGAAAGATAGAGAGAGACAGAGAGACAAAAAGCGAGAAATCACCCCCCAGGGGGAATGGCCAAGCCTCAATCCCTTCTCCCCTATTCTCCTCTTGGGATCATGGGCACGCATGCACATGCGCCCAGCGTGAGTTTAAGTCACTGGGTCTGGGACTCGAACCACAGTCGACTACATGGGAGTCCAGTGATATAGCCATTACGCCAGCTGCTCGTCTCGGAAACTCTACTTATGGACTTAGAGATGACAGCTTTATGCTTCATATCAGAATCCCAAATCCTTGGTTGGGGCCAGACACCCGAAGGTTCCTTAGCATAGCTGTGGCCACCACTAAGGTTTGGCACTGGCCTTCACAAGAGCCTTTCCTAAGAATGAGAGTGAATCAACCACTTGAACATCTCAAAAATTTCTCACTATTCAAGGAATGATAAATGTAGGTCTAATTAAATTTCTAACTGAGTTTTAATTTTTAGTGAGTCTTGATTTGTTTCCAGGGCTGCAGTCCAAAAGAAATAAGTCAAGCAAATATTTGCCAGAGACAGATACAAATAAATAAACTTTGCTTAAAATTACAACATAAAAACTTTGTTTATTGCAGCTTTCACTTGCACCATTACTTGGACTTTCTTTTAATCATTATGTGTGTTGCACTGTTGCTATTGGCAATGCTCATACATATAGTCATCCTTTAGTATCTCCAAGGGATTGGTTCCAGGACTCCCCCCCGCCAAGTCCCTTGTACAAAATGGTGCAGTGTTTGGGTATAACCCGTGCACATCCTCCTGAATACTTCTGATCTCTAGAGGGACCAGCAAATGACATAATGGTTATGTCATTGGACTCCCGCATAGTTGACCTCGATTCGAGTTCTGGACCCAGCAGCTTAAAACTCACGACGAGCACATGTGTCCAAGATCCTAAGAGGAGACTGGAGAAGGGACTGCAGCATGACCATCCTCCCTAGGGGGTGATTTTTTTGTTTTCTGTCTGTCTCTCCAGCAAGCGCACATGCTCTATAACAAAAATCTCTCGAAAAGAAAAAATACATATCGGTGGGTCTTAAAAAAAAAAAAAAAAACCTCTCTAAATTCTTAGTAGAGGCCAAGTAATCATTTGAAATTTAACACCCATTCCTAATTTAAAAATAAAACTCAGTAAACTCAACAATACCTTTTTAACACTAAACAATACCTAGATAACCAGCATCACTCATGATAAGAAAACACTAGAGGTTGTAACCAATAAAATCCAGACAAGTTAGTTATAATAAGGGCTGACATTAGCATTTCTAAATTCCAGACACCATTCTGAATGGTCTTACATAGACTGACTAGTTTAAACCTCATGCCAACCCTATAAAATCAGTACTGTCACTACCCGTTTTTTGTAGATGAAGGAACTGAGCCTCAAGAAGCAAAGTAACATCACATAGTTACTAAGAAACAACTTGGCATTGAACTAGGGATTTCTGCTTTTATAGCCCATGATTCTAATCATCCCGTCATCCCCACAGTCATGTAACTCTGTTCTGGATGTTCTAGACTGTGCACAAAGAGAAAGAGATAAGTTTTGTTACTCTTGGGAAGGAAACTAAATTATTTTCATAAAAGATTATTGAGGCATAATGCATTAGAGATTTGTCAGAATAAAAATTAGTGAAATTTATGGGAAATAATAGCACGGAAGACAGACGATTAACTGGAAATTATTTGCAACATATGTAAGAAAGAAAATGAGAAGATGAACACCCTTTATAAAAAGTTGGGTTTTTTTTGGAAAACTATGCTTAGTATGTGGTTGACCAGCTAAGAAACTCAACTTTCATCCTGGTAATATGGAATTTCTCTGTAATTGTGAACCTGACTGTTCAGAATATACTTAATCATTTCTAACATGTCAGTCACGATTTATTCTCTCTCACATTTGTAAAAGAAATTACTTTGTTTATAACAACAATAATAGTAGCAGCTGACACTTGCTATGTACCAGGCCCTGTTTAAAATGCTTTTTACACACGGTCTCTTGGCTCTTCCCTTTTTTTTGGAGAGGTTTTTTTGCTTTAGGGCACGTGCACTTGCCAGACAGACAAGAGAGACAGAAAGCGAGAAATCACCCCCCAGGGGGGATGGCCACACCACAATCCCTTCTCCTCCATTCTCCTCTCGAGATCTTGGGCACGCATGCGCACGCACCGGGCGTGAGTTTAAGCCACCAGGTCTGGGACTCAAACCACGGTCGAGCAACATAGCCATTATGCTAACTGCTGGTCCCTTGGCTCTTCCTAAAGGCATTATCCTGCGACCTGGGAGAAAGTAGAACTCTTTCACAGTGACCCAAAACTTAGGAAAGCACAGAACATGGAGGGAAAGTTGCTGTCTATACTTGTTGAGTAAGTTAGGCCAGGAGCTTAGATAGCATGCTATTACTGATATTCTTAGAAAATGTTAAGGGGCCAGCAGGTGGCATGGTGGTTAAGACTCTAGACTCCCACCTGGCCAACCGTGGTTTGAGTTCTGGACCCATTTGACCACATTTGTATGTGAAAATCAAGCTGGCCACATGTGGATGTGTGCCCCAAATGCCAAAGGGAGACAAGAGAAGAAAGGATTACAGCATGGCCATCCCTCAGGGGAAATTTCTCACTTTCTCTGTCTCTAGCAAGCGCATGTGCCCTATGGTAAAAACCACGAGAGAGAGAGAGAGAGAATGTTTAATATAAAAACGCCCTTCTAGAACACAGCCATGACATACCTAGTCCATGATTCTGTCCCACAGTAGTTCCAAGGAGGTCATTTAAAGTAAAGCCTTTTTTTTGAGGGTGGTTTTTTGTTGTTGTTGGTTTGTTTTTTTTTTTTCCTTTGGCTATAGGGTGCATGCACTCGCCAGAAAGACAAAGAGACAGAAAACAAGAATTCACCCCTCAGGGGGAATGGCCACACTGCAATCCCTCCCCTCCATTCTCCTCTCAGGATCTCGGGCACGCACACACACGCACCCGGTGTGAGTTTAACCCACCAGGTCCGGGACTCGAACTGCATCAACTACATGGGAGTCCAGTGACATAGCCATTGCACTAACTGCTGGTCTCATAAAGTAAGGCTTCTTTTATCTCCCATGACATAACTCAAAGTTTCAACATGCCCAGAAGATCTCTAATATCTTTGGTCTAGAGACATGAATGGCCACTCATTCTGTGTTAGACTGGGCCATAGGCTCTCTTTTGACCCTAGTGACAATCGTATGGGATAAAAACCCATTTCAGAGGGGAGGAAACTGAAGCCCAGAAACTTTAAACACCTTTCTTAAGAACACACAGCTGGAGAGGACACAGTATCTCACATGCAAGTCTCAAATCCAGAGCCCCTGCTGGTCCCTCTACTGTGCAGATTCTCAACATTTGTTTATGTTTTTAGCTTATATCGCCTTTCTAAATGAAGGGTTCCTCATTCTCTCAGTTCCTACCTGCTGTGTAACAAGGCACAGGCTTTTGTTGCTGTGCAAATACCTGGTTCAAGTTTTCAAATTGCAGGGGGAGTGGGGGGAAAGGGTGCCTGGCTTCAATAATAAAAACATGAAGAGATGGGGCTATATAATTTTACACATTTAACAAGCAGACATCATATTCACAAGTACTTTAATATGTATTTCTAACAGATAAGGACATTTATAATATAATGACAATGCCATTGTCACATCCAACAAAACTTAATCCTAATGTTATCTAATATTTGGCCCATGTCCAATTTTCTCCAGCTGTCATGAAAGTATTATTTTGACTTGATTGGCTTGAATCAGAGATACTAGGGTATTTTTAATATGAAATATTTTAATAACATCCCCTCAGTACTTCTTGCATTAATGCTTACCATATTATTATTATTAGCAACTTCTTCGAGAGATGCAACAGATGGCCAGCCGTCCCTTTGCTTCAGTAAATGTTGCCTTGGAAACAGATGAAGAGCCTCCCGATCTTATTGGAGGGAGTATAAAGGTGAGAATGTGGTTCAAAAGACCATGTACCTGAACTTTGCAAAACTCAGGCTTCTTGTAAGTCTAGGAAAATAATTCTCTTGCTTCTTGATTTTTCTTTTTCTTTCTTTTTTTTTTAACAATTAGCTGAAATACTGATGTTGTCTGGTATTCTGTTTTCATTTCATTTTCTTTGGTTCATATCATTAAACTGTCTTGTATTCAGGGGATTTTACAATGTAAATTATTTGTCTGATAGTCTTTTAAGTATTCTGCAGCATAATACTTGAACATTTTTATTTGAAAATAGCTAAATCAGGGCCAACCAATGGTGTGTTGGTTAAGGCAGCTGAATACCACATGGACAACTCCACAGTGCAAGTTCAAGACCCAACAGCCTGAAAAACATGCATGCCCAAAATCTCAAAAGGAGAATGGAGAAGAGATTGTGGCATAAACATCCCCCATTCCCCATTGGGAATGCTTTCTCATGCCTCCCACCCCCTATGTGGCTCTCTGGCAAGCACACATGCCCTTTTAATAACAAAATAATAAAATAGCTAAATTGAACCATTATCTTTTATAATTTTATCTTGGGGATTTTTTTTTTTTGGAGAGGTTTTTTTTTTTTGCTATAGGGCACGTGCGCTCACCAGACAGACAGACAGAGAGAGACATAGAGACAGAAAGTGAGAAATCACCCCCTAGGGTGATGGCCACGCTGCAATCCCTTCTCCTCCCTTCTCCTCTCGGGATCTTGGGCACGCACACACACGCACCCAGCGCGAGTTTTAAGCCACCGGGTCCGGGCCGTGAACCACAGTCGACTACGTGGGAGTCCAACAGATACAGGCAAAACCGTAAGTGTGGAGTTGTTCCCTTTTTTTTTTTTTTTTTTTTTTTTTTTTAGAGGTTTTTGCTATAGAGTGCGTGCACTCACCAGAAAGACAGAGAGGGACAGAGAGATAGAAAGCGAGAAATCACCCCCCGGGGGGATGGCCATGCCACAATCCCTTCTCCTCCATTCTCCTCTCAGGATCCTGGGCACACACGCACACACGCCCAGCGTGAGTTTAAGCCACCAGATCTGGGACTCGAACTGCAGTCGACTACATGGGAGTCCAGAGACATAGCCATTATGCTAACTGCTGGTCCCTCTTGGGGATTTTTTTTAACAGAATAATGATAATTCACTATATATTCTGTGAAAAATCAGTATCTCTTATACCCCCAAACGATGAAGGAAGTGATAAGATTTTCTCCTCTAGCAAAATGATGAAATACTTCAGATGCTTGGAAGAAACAGCTATATATCCTAAAACATACTTATTAAAGCATTACTGAGTTCACAAAAAGTAGGTAAGATCTGCAGGAACTACCCCTTTCTTCCCTTAAAACAAAACAAAACAAAACAAAACTATGAGCCAGACTCCAGATTACTAACACATCCTGACTCCCAGTGGAGGTAGACGCAAATCCCCTCTGTAGGAAAAATTCCTTAATTCAGTGCCGTAGGACTCCTACATATCAGAATAAGGCAATTAAAGATCACCAAAAAGAATAGGACAGTCACCGTGAATAAGAGTACAAACAACAGATGATGGATTTAGGACTTCAGATGTTAGAACTGATATCTAAGGAATTTAAGAGAACCCCGTATGAAATAGCTCAAGAATTAAAAGATGGAAACATAAAGATGAAGAAGCCACGAGAGTCAAAAAGGGCCAAACAGATCTGAAGAAGAAAAAAATGGAACTGGTAGAAATGGAAAATAAAGGAGTTGAAATTTGTAAAATAAATAGCTGATTTTACATACTTAACAGCACACCAGAAACAACTGAGTAGAGAATTTATAAACTGGAAGATGAAACTGCAAAAATTACACAGAATATAGCACAGAAAGATAAGGAGATGGGAAACATGACAAGATACAAGAATATAGAGAATAGAATAAGGAGATCCAACATACGTACTCTCAGAATCCCAGAATAAATGAGTGAGGGGGAATATTCAGAGATATAGCTGAGAATATCCCAGAACTGATGGAAGACATTGGTTATACAGATTCTGAAAGCAAAATAAATCATAAGATTAAAGAAAGAAAGCAAGAGGAAAGGAAGGCTACAGTTGAATTTATCATATTGAAACTATAGAACTCCAAAGACCAAAAAATAAAAAAACCTTAAAATCAACCAGAGGAAAAACAATCATCTACAATGTGAAGAAATTAGAATCTTGTGTACTAATGGTGGGAATTTAAAATGATACAGCTCCTTAGAAAACGGTATTGCTATTCCTCAAAAACTTAAAAATAGAATTATTGGGGCCAGCATAGTGGTTAAGGTGCTGGACTCCTACATGGCTGCCCATGGTTTGAGTCCCAGACCTGGTGGCTTACTTTCTCACTTTCACTCTTTTTCTTCTGGTGAGTGTATGTGCCCTACAGCAAATTTAATAATAATAATAACAATTTTTAAAAATAGGATTGCCATATGATCCAGCAATTTCACTTTTGAGTATGTGCTCAAAAAATCTGAAAACAGCGCGGGGCGCCCGGGAGCTCATGCCCCCGGAGCGGCGGCGCCCGCCAACGAAAGAAGGCCCCCGCAGAAGCAGCAGCCACCGCGTCCGGCAATGGAAGACCGCACGGGGG